ATAGTTCAGCTTTACTATTCGTACCTTACATTCCAAAACGGATCCCTTTTAACTCCTTTGATTTACACTTTCCAACGTGTATCGATTGTTCTAATCTCACATAAGCTCCCTATATGTCCCTTAAACCCCAAAGAATGGATTGCTTGTGTTAATGAAGCTTAAAGTTATCGAAAACTAACCCTTAGTTGCCTTGTGACTTCCCTTATATTATTTATGGCTTTCTAATTTTAAATCCACATACCAATAAAAGGTGAAAAGTTTGCAGCACCTATCAAAAGCAATTATTATATTCTTATATTTGAAGTAATCTTGCCACTTAAAAATGCGGGCAGTAAATATACCTGAATCAGACTGTATATAAATCCCAGCGTTTGACATTGGGGGGGCTTAGCCCCAGTGGGCTTTGGGGGTCTCGGCCCCAAATGGCATTCGTCACTGGAGCGGCGGCCGACATCATTCACGGGATTAGCCCGCTAACCGTGTTAATTGCTGGGCCCGCGTAAATCAGCGACGGCTTAAGTCATCAGACCCCGGAATTTACGCCCGGTAAATATACAGAGACTGCGTGATCTAGAAGCTCTTACCATCTACTCGAAGCTCATACTCAGGTGCACACCTATAGCCAAAATATATTGTTATATCGTGTTAAGATTATCATTACTTATTCCAATATATGTATTGATATAGAGGATTAATTCACACTAGATCCAGAAGTTCGTCAAAAAGCTTGTACTGTTTACCTTATCTTGAGGCTAAAACCTTGTCGCATGCTATTCAAAAGCATGCGACAAGGTTTTGGGATACAGCCCTAAATTTGAACCACTTCATATTTCATTTTGAACCTTATTGCTAAAATGATTTAAAAACATCCGAAATGAAATATTTGATTAACTTTTAAATATTCTAATTTTTTCATGGAAAAAAGTCAATCTATTCGTGAAGCAGAAAGCTAAAATGTAGGCCATATTTCGAAATAGATGATGCCTGAATTATTTGTTATATCGGGGAATATACCTAAATACCTAAACATATAAATACACACTGAAGCGATGGTATAGGATTCTGAATACGATAAAATACAAAAGTAAATCATCAGAACAGGCCAGAATAAATGAGAAGATTCGAATTATATAAGCTTAGAGACAAAAAATGTTCAGTCTCCTGTGTATTTATTATAATGCTTATAAGTGCTCTCTCAGACATAACAATCACATAAGCTGTTTGACATTTTGACATTTGCGATGGACTTTTCATGAGCACGAAATTTAAGTTATGTCACCACCGAACACCTGAACAAGCTGACTCGACATGTTGACCCTGCATAATTAATTTTATGAAATAATTAGAATTGCATTGTTAGAGTTGTATTAAACTAAAGTTTTTTAAAAACGAAGTTGGCCTATGAAATAAATAACTGACGCAGTCGGTAGGATCTGTCAAAAGCCCATCTATCGAAGAAAGTCAGTAGATCAAATGCAAAAATTTACTTTGAACAAAACACAAATGGAAATATTAAGTCCAGCGAGGTTTATGCTAAGCATGGTCAGCGTTTGGAAGACACCGACAAGACATTAAGTCCAATCTACCAAATTCAGTAAAAGGTTAAGTCTTTGATCAGTACTATCTCCCAGTAGGAACTCATAGAACACATAGCTGCAAGATCGAATCCGCAATACAGTAATAAGAAAACCTTTAAAAAGGAACTGGGCAGGGCATATTAGAAGAATAAGAAACAATTGATCGCTTCAAAGAATTTTAGCATCGAGAATGGAGAACACGAACAAACCAAAGAAGAAGAGAACCACAAACGAAATCATCGGATGACATAAAGAGACTATAGTCTATTTGTTTGCAGCAAGAGTCATGACTGGATGAGAAAGACGCAAGAAAGGGAAAATGGAGAAGGTTTTCACTAGACAATGTATAAGGCTAAAGAAGAAACAGAAAAAGAAGATTTGAAATTTATATTAAAGGGGTTACGATTTATTAATAATAAAATTGAAATTAACGCCGAAATATGTGCACAACTAACGTCCGAGTCTAAATAGAGGAACACGGGTCCTACACAGAACATAAAAAAAATTGTTGGTCCGCAGGTGAAATTACACCTTTGCAAGTTGACCATTTCGAGCAGATTTTCATTGGATGTTGAACTATGGTTTATGGTTACATTACTGTTGAGTCTTCAAATTATTATCAACCTTTGTCCTAGCTTCCTTCATTTCACAATAAAATCTACTGTTGTATATTGCATTTTTCATTTTTGATGCTTATGAAAAAAAATTTAAATTTTGGTTTCCTCTCCGATTCTAGGCAATATCGTTATTTGATCTGCTCAACTTTAATTTTTGTACTCTATCACAATTTTCTGGTTTTAATTCCCGCCCCATACTTTATATTGGTTTACATTTCGTTGGCAAAGGCCTTATCTTACAGGTATTACTTGGCAAAAGCTGAGATAAGTAATGGAGTGCTTAAGTGTAAGAGAAAGAATAAACAAAGGGAAGTAAGATACAAAAATATATCAAGCTGGAATCTGTTTATCCGCTGAAAGCTGTGAAATATATTAGCATTTGTCATTTTAATAGTCACCGAGGACAGATTGGCGGATTTTGTTTGAAATATCGACACGACCCGCATGTCTATGGCACCTGCGGCCGTTCTTTTATACATGGGAGGTTTTCCTTCTCATTTTATTTTCTTAGTTGAAAAAACGAGTGAAATGGGAACTTCACAAGTTTTTTTCCTCCCAACATTTATTTATTTGTGAGCATGCTTTTGTATTTTTGTCGTTGATAGCTCGATTTCAACCTTTTGTAATTCGATCGGGAAAATTAACTATGTCTGTTCTAAATAGTTTCTAGAAATGTATGAAAAAGAAAGCACCTGTATTTTTTTAAATATGTTTTCATGGAAAATAACTTCCTATATCGCGAATAGGTACCTAACCTTGCACAGAAATATTTTTTTCTTCTACCTCACTAGAAAACATCATTTTCCACGCCTAAACGAGGGAGGAAAACGATTCTTCTCCTCCCTGGGAACAGAAATTTTCCTACCGGCGCGAGGAAAATTTCTGCAGGAGGAAATTCTTTTTTTCTTCACTGAGAACACAAATTTCACTTTTTCTAAATTATTAAACTACCAAATTTTCAGAAAATTCGTAGGTATATTTGCGGTTCTTCACATATCGATAGTCGAGAGTGGCCCATCGAGGTATGCCATCAAAGGCAGTAGATTTTTTTAAAATTTATGTCATTAGACCCAGAAATGGGTCTTTTTGTGGTGAGCTCAAGGTTTGGAGCGAAGCACAAAATGACCTTCGGGGCCAAATGGCATACAACATTTTATCTTCAACGGGTAGCAATATTTGCTTTCACAAGTTAATCACAGCTGTTTTCATCCATTTTCGGAAAAATAACACTAAACAGCTGATAAATTCACGACGGATGATTTGTTTACTTCAAATGTCAAATCAGTATCAGCTCACTCGGAAGACATTTTACTGCTCCAAACATGAAAGCTCGTGTAAGCGTACTATATTTATGCAATAATTTAGTTTATAACTTAATTATTAAGTACATATTAAAGCGATGGTACAGGATTCTGTATACGGTAAAATACAAAAGTAAATCATCAGAACAGGCCAGAATAAATGAGAAGATTCGAATTATAAAAACTCAGAGACAAAAAATGTTCAGTCTCCTGTGCATTCATTATAATGCTTATAAGTGCTCTCTCAGACATAGCAATCACATCAGCTGTTTGATATTTGCGATGGACTTTTCATGAGCGTGAAATATAAGTTATGTCACCACCGAACACCTGAACAAGCTGACTCTACATGCTAACCCTGCATAATTAATCTTATGGAATAATTAGTTCATCCAACATTATTTCAGAACAATCTCATTAGTTTATAACATTGAAGAAAAAATGTGAAACGAATAAATCACTGCAAACTATGAATAAAGTATGCTCTTGAAGTACCTGATTCCCGAACTCGATTCTTGACGCTGTCATCTAGCGAGAAAAAAACGCAAATTTATTTACAAGAACATAATAACCCTGATTGACGCTGCTGCCTCTAGCGGGCAAAGATCGAAAAAATTACCCCATACATAAAGATTTTAATGGTTCTAGGAACATAATGGATCACTTCTATGTCGAGTGATGATGACCATAAAGTTCAAATGATGGACCCTTCAAGATAAAACTATATACATACATATACATACAAGCACTATTTTCCTAGCTATTCCAGTATTAGAGCAATCAAGTTGTGGCTACTAGTTGTACTAACCTGTGACATCATCCACTTCAGTCAAAATATATGCATGACTATCTCAAAGGTACTTTTTTGCTATAGTTATTATTGTGTTCCCTTTCACAACATAGGCAAGTTTTGAATCTACCCTATATATTCGCCTCATTATTTTCGCGTCTCCGCGGAGGTTGAAACCTCTTATACATATCTCTGATTTTACTCAGTAAATAATAAGACCTTCAGCATCAGACCAGTAATAACTCCCAAATCGTTTTTAGTTCATTAACTTCTGATGATAGTGTTGGATTTTCATAATTTCTTTCAAGAACGCTTTATCTCTTTATGCGCCAAAAAGATGCAATTACTTCATTTGAGGACCAAAATTCAAACCATAAAAATACCACAGAATAGAAAATAACTGATGCTCCCAACACATAAATAAAATTTAATTCATTAGATTGAAAGTGCATCAATGTGCTACGTTTTCTTACAGAAATAAAGCGAGCCCATTATTAACCTCTAAACAAAGACAAACAAACTTTATTTTTCATAGAAAAAAGTTCCAAAATTCTACCATCAAATGAGGGGGAAAGCAGGCTGGCGGGAAATGAGTTGAAGCTTAAAACAAACAAATAACCGTCTTTGAACAACGGTTCAATATAAATGTAATCAATCAAAACTTTATTTATTTTCCATAAGATGTTCTCACTTATAACTTTGTTTTTTGTTACAGATTTAGTACTTAACAAAAAGAAAAGGGATCCTTCCAGCTGCCCAGTTTGCGGTATAACAATATCACCAGGAGATCTCGAAGGGCATTTCATGCAAGAGTTGGAAAGACTGTACAAGCTCAGCGGCACAGGAATAGCAGCGAGTAGAAAAAGAAATGTAAGAGATCCTGGAAGACCGCCGGCTTTACCAGGCGATAGCGGACCAGAGGGAAGATGGGAGGTAAATGTAGTTCAAACATTAATTTTATAGTCTTTTAGAAAATATTTGTATTTTTGTTACAGACATTTCAGCGAATTAAAACTAACAGACAGGGTAGACTTAGAATCAAAATTCGCAAACGCAAGGCAGATGATGGGTGTCCAATATGTACTGGTAGACCTCACAGAACGCAGGAAGAATTAAACTTGCATGTTCAACAATGCTCCAGAAAGGTATAAAAATCAATATTTTCAAATTTGTAGCTTTCTCATTACTATTTGCTTCAAAAGGGCATGCACGACGATGAGGAAACTGTCGATGTGGAAGGTGATTCAGAATTAGAGGAATGGCATGAAAGTCAAAGACAAAGAACATCCTCTTTAGTTAGCGGAATGTCCAATAGATCAACTAGAATTACAGAAGTTGACAATGAAGGAGACGATCTAATAGTTGATGGAGACGAGCCAGAAGAAAGTAGTTTTGGACCCTCACAATATACAGAATCTGATGTTGTAATGAAAGAGATACGGGAAAAAGATGGAGTGCAATCTCAAGTAGCAACAGTTAATTCTAGCGGCGATGTAGAAATTAAGCCAGAATCACAAACAAATCAGAATGCCCAAAATGGTCAACAGTGTGATGTTAGCACATCAGATGCTGAACCAAGTAGCCGAATGCAATTAATAGAAGAACTAAGAATCCGCATTAGAAAACTAGAAGCTGAAGCAACTGCAAATGGGGAACAAACGTTGTCTAATGAGGCTACCACTCCACAACCAGAGGAATATAGATGTTTGATATGTTTGGTAATATATTTTTTTCACTTACTCAGTTAAATTATTAATATATCGGTTTTCTTTTACAGGAACAATATAAAAAGCCAGTTATATCAACAGTTTGTTGGCATGTTCATTGTGAGGAGTGCTGGCTCCATACTCTGGTAGGTAACTACATTATTTTTCTTAAATTAATATCAGCCAATGGCGGCTTCTCAACAACTGCTGATGTACTACAGAACGATCAAAATAAATGATACCCAAAATATTGAGTAATAGTCATATTATTATTTTCACAAATCAGAATTTATTATATTTAGATCAGATTTTTTTTACCAAACCAACGAAGATTTCAGAAATATAATACAATTTTTCGACTAGCATCGTGTTTCTTGGCAGCGCTTGTTCTAATTGGAAGACAGCAAACTTAGTCTAAACAAAACCATTTTTAGAAGACCGCAAAATAGTTGGCTTTGTGTTGAATCGGGCCGCATCGGTGAAAAATTAATCCTAACTGCACGGAACACATGGTACATTTATTTTTCTTGTTTCAGACGTGTCTGAACGTCAAAAAAAAATTTGGATTTTTTTTTTCTAATTCACAAATACCTAGAGAGAGAAATGTTTCTTTTCTAATCATACTGATAACGTTGAGCAAGCTCATTCTTTCTATACTCCATCGCCCTTGTATATATAATTTTGACACTAAACCCATTTTTTTTTTTTTTTCAGGGAAGCAAAAAATTATGTCCCCAGTGTAGTATGATTACATCACCAACTGATCTCAGACGAATTTTTATGTAAATCAATTCCGCTTTTTTCACCAACTGATATTCAATTACTAAATACATATTACTTAATAATGTAGATGGTAACAGTCTGCACAATTACTCATCTGATTATTATCAATCGCACGTGTTATCAATATTCTATCTATTTTATTATTATCGACATTGTTTCATTCAACGTGGTAATCAAAGTTCCGTTATCATCAAAAGCTGGAGCAACTTGTTGATATAAGAACAAAATTATTTGTCATAATCAATGTAAATTAAAAGAAGCCGACGATAAGAATTTTAATTTTTTTTGGATTAGGTATAGGGCACCTACAAATACTTTCATATGCCTACCTATTAAAAAAATCTCTGGCTTTGTTGGCTTTTTTGTTTTTTTTTTCTTTTTTTTTTGTAATATTTAATAATTATTATATTATGTAGGTGCCTATCATTATTTCCAAAAAATAATCTTTATAACTCATGATGTTTTGAAAACTAACCTACCGCCAAAATAAAACTGAATAAAAATTCAATTCAATAATATTTTACTTACAATTCAGAAAAATATACCTACACCTAGGTTTATTAAAAAAATGTGATCTTTGTCAAAATAAATTATTCTAGAAGAGTACTTATTAAAACTATATAATATATTATTGTTGATTTTATTGAAAACTAGGATTATGGATGGATTTTCTAAATGTGGTTTCTTTCAATTATTACTTAAAATTAAATAATTATTTCTAGCGATATTTCAAATTGGTAAGACCGAAAATCAGTTTATTATTGATTCAAAATAATCCGCTAAAAATAATATTTAATTTCCTTATATTTTGAATTGGTTCTAGAAATTATACAATAATTAGTAAAATTATATGAGCTATAAGCGAATTATTTACAATAAATAACCTAATATTCTGACTGATTATTCTGACCCACATTTACCATTAGGATCTACTTGTATATGTTCTTCGCAATTTCCCAATTCAATCACTGTCCGAAATTTATATCCACAGTCTGGTGTAGATTTCGCTAATTTCCCATATCGTGTTATATCCAGTACGCGTTGTGGGTAAATTAGAAAGATCCACAACCCGAACTCACGAGTCCACGGCCATCGGAAACTCAGGACGATTCTCGTGTTGTGGATATGAATAAGTACCTAAAACAAAAATATGTTTTTGAGTGAAAAAAAATCGTATATAGTCCAAATTTATGCTCTCCTCGATTTTTCGTGTTTCAGGAAAATACCAGGGGATGCTTTGTTTGCTAGGGCTGCCAAGGCGCAGTACAAAATTTTTAACCGCTATAATAATTTCTTTGATGAAAATTCTGACATTAGAAATGGAAAAAGGAGGTCAAAATTAGTGGAAAACAGTTTCTATATAATTCTTTTGGCTCAAAGTAAACTCGAGAAAAGTTCCGAAAGAAAATTTTATTTCTGACTGGATTTTTGAGATCTTACATGGTCTCAAATGAAAGTGCATATAACTTCATGATTTTTCTTATATTTTAATTACTATGATTACGTAATAGGTTCTCAAAGTACTTGCCTAAGGTGAAATTTCTTATAAAGGGGTTTCAAATGCAGTGTTTCAGCTTTTGTATATTTTAAGAAGTAAAAGTTCAAATTTTAAATTTTTAATACCCACAACACGAAATTCATCGTGTGTTTTCCGATGGCCGTCGTGATTTCGCGTTGTGGATATTTCTAATTTATCCACAACGCGTTCTGGCTAAGATACAAGATGTAGCCGCAAAATCAACAACGCGCTGTGGGTATAAATTTCGGGCATTGGCCGATTTCGGAAATTGCGTACAACATAATATTATATTATTATTGTTTTTTGTTGTTGTATATCTCAAAATATAAGTTATATTAAATTTGTAACTATAATTAGGCATGTAAATTTTTGTAGATACTTCATATTATCAAAATTATTATATAATTGTAACTTATTAACTGTAATTATTATCAATAAATGTCTATCACTACTAATGTTTGCATTTTTAATTACCTCCCACATAACAGTGAAAGAACATTCATATTCTCAGAATATTCCCTCGAAGTGCTTTCTGGAATGTTCTTTTAGGAATGTTTAATGAATATTCTAAGAATGTTTCTATTGAAATATTCATTTTTGAACGTTCTATTTATGTACTAGGAATGTTGCTTCTTTGCACCTACCTGAAAGATTGTGCTAAGAACCTACTTTATATACCATTATTTGAATATTCTCATACGAACATTATTATAATGTACCCTAAAAAATGTTCTTTCCGCTAATATCTCTATCAAGTATCAGTGGCGGTCCATACATGATTTTCTGGGGGGGGGGGGGGGGGTAGGGTAATGGATGACGGGAAAATCATCAAGTGTCGGAATGTACCGCCGCCGGAGGTGAAATTTTTTTTGGGGTGCCACGCCCGAATTTGCACCCGAAAGTCGTTTAAAAAACACGTTTGGGGCAAAAATGTATCCCGATGCCGTCAAAATAGTTATAGAGGGTGTCCACTTAGTGCGATATCGGACGATATCTTCTTACAGGGTGATGAAAGAAAAAAAAAGAAAAATCAAAGTTGTTTGATTCTCTAAGGTGCATTACTCAAATATATTCTTAAATATACAGGGTGCTCTGTAAATGGGGTATGCGACAGAAATGTCTTATTTTTAAATGGAACACCCTATATTTTAGTACATTCTAACCTATACATACTTTTTGTTAGGAATCATCATACCAAAACTCAACCGTTTTTAAAATATTTAATATTTTTTCAAAAAATCGCAGCTTGCATGTGTCAACAAAAACTTGCCATATGAAATACCCCCTCGCTCCTCATAGTCCTCATACGTGAAGTGTCAGTTTAAAAACATCGGACTTTACTCTCATTTACTTCATGGTCCTATGAAAATCTGTTAACATTCTACAGGGTGTTAGCAATACTGTACACAAAACCAAACATTTCAAACAACCATTATAGCACTGTATAGTAATAAGTACGCAAGATTGTTTGACAGAGGTAGGTTGCCTGATAACTCCATGACGTCATCTGGGGTGCTTCAACATAATGCAAATCTGCATAAGGCTCCCAAATGCGTCATTAAGTTACCTATTACCAGACAACCTATTAGGCACTTAGCGAAATAACAGCCATATTTTAACATAAAATTTAACAGCGAACTATCGATGCAATATTGTTAAGGATCATTTATAGATGCTAAGAACCAAAAATGCAACATCTAATTACTTTTAGGGGATTTTATAAACAATATTTAGTGCAAAAACAGGGCTTTTTTTTGTTTATTTCACTGTATTTTGAAAACTAAGGATCGGATGGTTTTGCTACTGTGGCAATAGTTTTAGAGCATTGAACAAGCTTTACAATGAGCCATCATACAACCCTGTAGGTCTTTTAGTCTTCGAGAAATGATTTTTTTCCTCCAAAAAAAGACATTTTCGTAAAAAATTCCTAACTTTTTTAATTTTCATGCTAGATAATTAATTTTTCACAGATACATAGTAGATGAGGCAGGCTTTATTGAGCCCAAATTTGGGCCCGGTCCGATGGGTTGTTTCGGCATAATACCCTTGTCAAGCAAAATGGGGATGTTTCTAAAGCAGTCTGTCGCATTGAGGATAATTTTTTTATATTTATTTTGAAAAGTCCACTGATAAGTCGAAATGCCAAACTATCGATCCTCTATCTCTGATTTTCCATTTAATTTTTTTATCGCAAGTAAAACGGCTTCGAACATGACTGAAAATGGAAAAAATTGACGGGAATTCAAACGGAGTGACAGCGAGCTCCCCCCCGCCCACGCAAATTACATTTTATTTCCATTTCAGTGATGTTTGGAGCCGTTTTACTTGCGATAAAAAAATTAAAGGGAAAATCTGAGATAGAGGATCGATAGTTTGGCATTTCGACTTATTGGTGGACTTTTTAAAATAAATATAAAAAAATTATCCTCAATTCGACATACTGCTTTAGAAACATCCCCATTTTGCTTGACAAGGGTATTATGCCGAAACGACCCATCGGACCGGGCCCAAATTTAAGCTCAATAAAGCCTGCCTCATCTACTATGTATGTGTGCAAATTTAATTGTATAGCATGAAAATTAAAAAAGTTAAGAATTTTTTACGAAAATCTCTTTTTTGGGGGGGAAAAAATCATTTCTCGAAGACTAATAGACCTACAGGGTTTTATGATGGCTCATTTTAAAGCTTGTTCAATGCTCTAAAACTATTGCCATAGTAGCAAAACCATCCGATCATTAGTTTTCGAAATACAGTGAAATAAACAAAAAAAAGCCCTATTTTTGCACTAAATATTGTTTATAAAATCCCCTAAAAGTAATTAGATGTTGCATTTTTGGTTTTTAGCATCTATGAATGATCCTTAACAATACTGCATCAATAGTTTGCTGTTAAATTTTATGTTACGAAAAAATTTATCTGCCCTGGTCTATATGAACTTTAGGAACCTTGGTATAGTATTTTTAATACCTATTTAGAAGTACCAGTCGTTCTAGTGACAAAACGTATGTCGCTTCTTGACAAACAAATAAAATTAGGTTAGGAATTTCCTATCTGTACATGAAATTGACGTATTAGCAATCACAAGAGCTTGGTGGTAGCCCCGAAACAATTTATATGCGACGTTGCAATTTTTGGCATTTTCATGTTTGGACTGGAATCAGCGCCACACCACGCCACGCCACCACAGTTATTTATTATTATTATCCCGGCCTTTTGAGTTTTGATGTGACACAGAATATAATAACCTTTATACTGCTCATGATTGAATAAATTGGAAATTGAATAAAATTGAAACTACAAATTTTGTATTTTGAAGCACTGCCTTTTGGTTGGAGTGGAACTGGAAACTCGTTTGTTCTTCTACAGGGCGGAAATTTTTTTCATATCAAATTCGGAAAAAAATTGTTATTTTTCTAACAAGTGCGGGAAATACCATTCCTCGCAAGTGTTAAGTCAAGTGCTCATAACAGCGAAATTCGTTCTTTTTGACATTCCTTCGACAATTTGACGTTCTATTCGTGAATCAAACGCCAAATTGTCGAAGTAATGTCGAAAAAGAGCGAATTTTGCTGTTATGAGTACTAGGCTTAAGGAACACAATTTTTCTCAAGGGTGTGCGGAATGATTAACCTTTGTGCTTGCCAATAGTTTTTTTTCCGCACATTCGTAGGAATAGTCATCTTAGTTTCAGGTGTCCAGAAAATGGCAGGATTATCCTGTTTTCAATCCCTAGTAGGACTGCTTATTGAGCTGAAAGTGTTTGCCAACTGCTATGTCAGCTGCATGAGTACTTCAACTCTTGCAGTAAAATGCATGTTTCGAGTTTAAAGCACACAAAAAAATGAATTCTTAAACGTTAAAATCTTGTTAAAATCACCTTTTTTACATTTAAAATCGACGAAAAAATCAAATAACGAGCACAGCCTGAATTGCAGCTGTGGCGACGTCATTCGCAGACCCTGCCTGCTCAAGAATTGGTGAACGTACGCCTTATTAGGACGAGCAATCCTGTTTACG